ATATATATTTCATTCTAATTACTTCTAGGACCTTTTTTTTATCACACTGGTGGAAATGGGCTGCCACATAAACCTATCAAGAGAAAACAATTAAAAACTTAAATTTTCAGGATTCGATGATACTCACGTCCATAAACTCCACGTTAGCTTTGGGTCCTGTGGCCTCATTTAGGATTTTAATGGCTACAGGAATCTTCACTGTTTCACCCTCTGGAACCCAGATACCCTAAAGAGACACACACACAAACAGCTGATGAGTGCAAAGTCATTCCAACTCACCAACATCTTATAAAGAGAGAGATGTTAAGCTTTAGTATTTTCAACCTGGACCCTATTTTACCATGTTTTGTGTCTAAGTAACCAACGGGAACAACACTCTCAGAAATTGTGTCTTCCTCGAGAAGTCTCGTCTCCCAAATGAAGTTGTTGCAGGAAGATAATAACAGACAGACCAGATCAGGTAAAACATAAAGAAAAATGTTTTATTTCTCTGTAGGATCCTTTCCATAATGCTGTCAGACACATAACAACCAAAGCCTGTCAGAGGCAGAAACTCTTCAAGTGGATGTACATTTACGATTCACTATTGCCCCTCAGGGTTACACAACAGTTCATTTCTCAGCTGCTGGCTGCAGCGCTTTCGCTCGATGCTGGACCACTTTCAAAAACTGTTGTCTCCATAGTCACTCAATTACAAAAACAAGAAAAAATATGGTCCAGGTTGAAAAAAAAATGCTGGTTTCCCTTTGAAAATTTGACCAGGAAGAATCTTAATTATTAAATTGAGGAATTTTCACCTCAAATTCGTCTTTGTCAGCTTTCCTAATAACCATCTTCCATAATCTCACTGGCAGCGTATGTGAAGTTCTGCATGCTGCATGATTAACAGTGAATTTGTCCTTCAAAAAGACATGGTAAAAAAAAATCTATTTAATCATTTTGAAGTATCTAATTTCACGTGGGATTAAAGTGATTTAGCAGCTGCCAAAGTGGTCAAAGCATTTAAAAGAGTAGAGAAATCAAGTGCCTCTCAACTTTTCCAAATGTGCCCCACCTTTGTTCAATCCTGATGTGACTACATCTCTCCAGTGACTGCAGGCCCAACACCTCTGCTCATACATCAATGTGATGCCTCCTTTTTAAACACAATCTCTCTCCCTGTGCTTGTGTAGATGGTTACGATTTAGCAGAATGAATTGAAGTTGATGAGTAATATTGAAGCATTTTGGTGAAAAGAGAAGTGAGCTGCAAAGCAAAACATGTATTTACAAGTCAATCTGAACGCTAACCCTCAACATTAGCCACGACCTCCGAGCTGTGCCTCAAATAATAAGATCATGCAATCAAGCTGCTGAAGCTCTGCTATCCTGCTGACTGCCTGGGAGGATTTCAACACCAACCAACTGTTCCTCAACCCTGAGAGGATCCAGTGGAGGAAATTTAGATACCTCCTGCCTAGAGGTGGCTGGAGATTCCCGAGGGAAATGTGCAAGATGTTGCTTTGAAAAAAGGACATCTGTGCTCCTGATTACACACCTCTGACCCAGAAATGTGCTATAATGTGAATGGATGGATCTACAAAATGACCAGACTCTCGCTGAAATCATCAGTGAAAGTCTGTTCTCTTTCTAATTTCAGCTGTGTCTTTCTCTACTTTTCCCCCAACCCATCATCACACTGGTGGTGACCTCAGCTATCTCTTATTTCACTGTAACCCCTGGGGTCTCGGTGTCTGCTATTACTTATTCTTTTCATCCCCCGCCTCCAGCCTTCCATCTCATTTCCTGTCATTAATGATCCTGCAATTCGTCTCTCTTGTCTTCCTTTTTTTTTTTTTTTTTTTTAAATCAAGTTCTCATATCATGATCTCAACTTCAGGAGGATATTCATTTATTTTTTCCATGTACCAACTGATATACATGTTATTTTTGTGCATGTTTTACCTTGTAAACAGTTCCGAAGGCCCCGGAGCCGAGGATCTTGACCCTTTTGAGTTCTGTCTCTTTCAGGATGCGGAGCTGGGCTTGGTTGGGTGCTGTTCCACTGGGTGTTAAAGGTTCCACCAGCTGAAAACAAATCCAGAAACATAAAAGTCATTCAATCAGTGGGTATTGTATCACAAGCGCTGTAACACAAGCTCCCTACAATGAGATGAATTCATTTTTCACACAGCACCTCTGCTGTGTACAAAGTCAGCATAATCCTTTCAACCAGCAAAACAGAATTCATCATGGGAAAATACCAAGAAATTGTTAAAATATTTGCTGTCACTCATATTTCCAAGCAGTTATATGTCATTCCAACCCAGTCGCCAGAAGAAAATATTCAAATTGTACATTTCTGCAAACCACTGATATGTTATATTTGTATGTTTCACATATATCATATAATTTCTAAAGTGGCCGAGTTCTGATTACGTGTCTATGAAATGACTTTGACTCCAGTGGGTGGAGGGGATGATGGATGGCGCGCAACTGAGAGGAGATGGCTGCCAAGCAGAAGGCCACTGTTTGAGGCCAGCAATCAACAAAACTGGTTGTACTTTAGTGAAACACTGGCAGCATTTCCAGTAACAATCAGGCCACCAAACCTGGGCGCTTTGGGCTAAACATGATCTTTTCCATCCATAATCAAAGGGTCTTGTGCCTGAACACAACCACACATTAACCACAGCGTTGTAAAGAAACATAAAGTACACAAATCTGCTACATAATGTAATGATGCTACATGCTGGAGATGCTGGAGAAACTTACAATGCCAACATTGGGTTGGGTTTTTAGCTTCAGGATAAGCATGGGAACACAAAACACTTCCATGCCCAACCATACACATGTCCAGGTAAATTTACCAACCCCTTTTCCACAAGATTGTGCCTCCTAACACACCTGAATTAAGTAGAAAAAGTCCATTTACATGAGCTACTGCTAATTTTCACTACTTACAAGACTGTTCCTTGACTCAACGGCAAAAAAAGGCTGTTTCTAAAAACTGTGACCTAATTTCCACGAAGTCATGCTGTGAAACTCTTTTACCATAACAACAATTACCATGGAGTTACTCGGCACTGAAGTTTTTCTTGAAATAAGAATCCTAAAATAGTGCAATTGGAATGCAGTGTTTACTGTAATTTATTGAAGTTGTAATTGCTCTGAAACCTGTTAATCTTATCATGCATTTTCTGCAAAACACCTAATCTTAATAAGTAACTGCCCTGTACTTCAGGTGACAGGAGGGTTACTATGGCATTTTTCCAGCAAGACAAATCCAAACCCTGGAGTGCCATTACCATTTCAATATCACAAGTGAGAGATTTAATATGTGAAAAGAAGAGGGAGATGGAGATAGGTGGACGAAGAGTGAGGGAAAGAGGTGGGGGGAGGTGGATAATTGCGGAGCCCAAAAAGGAGTTGACACTTTTGTTGTCTCATTACTCCTCAAGTGGAGGAACGAACAGATTTAACAGCAAGAGAGGGAGAAAGATTATATGAGGGGAGGGAGGGAGGAGGGGGAAAGGCGCGGGGCAGGAGAGAAACAACAACAACAAGACAGCGATGGAGAAGCGGGCAGCTGAATTAGTCCGAGGATGCAAAAGCATGAGAGAGGGAGCAATATAAGGAGAATTAGGAAAAGAGAGGGAGATTAGAGAGGGAGGGAGGGAGGGCAGAACAGAGCGGGAGTGTAAATCAGCCTGGCTGTGGTCGGCCGCTTCTGTCCCTCTGGCTCATGGTTACCATTTGATTAAAAACAATAGCCATTCTTCATTTAAATGGAATCACAAATCAGCTTCTGCAGGGTGGGAACAACAAGGGCGGCGGCCACACACACTCATAAACAAACACACGCAGGACAATACAGATGTCTTTAAAATGATCTGTCCACACACACACACACACACACACACACACACACACACAAATACTACTGTATTCCTTTCCACTGTGCAGGGAGCTGTCCAGCATTAGTGGTGCTGAAGATGTTGAGGCATGAGAAGCTGCCACAGTGCAGCACACTGGAGCTGTCCAGCATTAGTGGTGCTGAAGATGTTGAGGCATGAGAAGCTGCCACAGTGCAGCACACTGGAGCTGTCCAGCTTCTCACTCTAAGAGGCAGTGCTGGAAACAACCTACTTGCTCAGCTAATGGCTGAATCCAAATGTCCACCCTCTGGACTTGCAGACTGAGCCCTCGCGGACTTCAGTTGTACAAAGTGTGACGTATTTACCGTCATCATGTAAAGTCTGTAAGAGCAGAGACTGCAAGCGGCTAATAGACAGTGCTCGACTGTTTTACTCGTTGCAGTGGAAACATTCAACTATTGCTGCTGTCATATTTATATATGTCATATAAGTTGAATAAGATGAATATGTATGTATGTTTATTCTGCTGCGAGGGTCCAAAGGACAGAAGGCTGTCGTATGCTGTAAAGCCCTGTGAGGCAAATTGTGATTTGTGATACTGGGCTTTATAAATAAAATTGATTGACTGATTGTTTGAAGTTGATGAATAGTGCCTGCTCATTTGTTCCTGCAGATAGCAAGATATAACTCCCATGTATAGCCTTTTTTGTGACTAAACAAAAATGTATTCATACATCTCAATATAACAGGCTACAGAAACCTTCTTTTGTTGTTTTCGGCCAATCTTTTAGCCTATTTCACTGCAACCTGATAGGCTGCAATAATTAAATGCATTTTCGTTCCCTCTACAGCCTATACTTCTACGTATCTCTGTATCATGATGTGGTTGAATATTATGTAAGATAAGATAAGATAGTCTTTACTGTCATTGTACAGACACCTCTACAACGAAATTGTGTTTGCTACATCCGTTAGCTGCATTAGAGTAAAAACAGAGTAACATAAAACATATAAAAAACAAGAAGAGCACGCACACAGACACACACACATCATTCAGAGAGTATAAAAAAATAATTTAGATTGTCTGGAATAAATAATAAAGGAAGTGCGATATTGCACTTGTTATATTAGCTAAGTATTGCACCATATCGACAGTTCAGAGCTCAGTTCATGTGGGTATTGAGTGTCCTGACAGCCCATGGAAAGAAGTCTGTTTGTCCTGCTCTTTATGCTCCTGTACCGCTTCCCTGAGGGCATCATTTCTGGCCTACATAATTCAAGTCCCATCTTAATAGACCTAACTATCAATAACTATTCTATACATTGATACGTTTGGGTTTTTTTGGCAGTTGAAAAACCCACAACGTCACATCTGTGTTGCAATGAATTGTGGGTTATTAAATCAGGGAAGTCTGCTTAAGTCTGCAACCCAAGCAGACTCTCTGGAGGTCTTGTGGACTGGATGAATTGTGGATTTGGACAGCCCTAAGCAAAGTCTGCAAGTGTGGTGAAGTCTGGACATTTGGATTCAGCCAATATTAAATTTTTCCTGACAACAGAATGATGAGAAAAAAGTGCATTAATTGAATAGATGCAAAAATTAATCTTAATGTACTGTGACAAATTCCACCGGTTTAGGTGGTTAAAGCAGTTAAAAAGTGATATCCTTTATATAAGCTACAGCATTATAATGTGGGTTTACAAGTGAGCTACAACTGTAGCAATTGAAGGCTGTTAATTATTTGCATAGCTCCTCGGATCGCTCTGTGAAAAGGTAGTTTCTTATACTTATCGCATTCTTCTTTTTGAATAACAACGCAGCAGTTTTAGCAGATAACATTTGACATTGTTTGCAGCACATTCTGCTTTCACATTAAGAATGTCAGCAAGCTTCTTCCTCATGCTGTTCGTAAGTATTCTTCATTAACTACATAATGCAAAATTAAAGAGACATATAAGTAATCAGGAAACAGTGACAGTGTAAGTGCCTGCCATATGTGAGATAAGTGTAAGTGTGATAACAAGCCACATCCGTGCTATTTTGTCATTATAGAAGCTATCAGCACACACACTTCACTGACACTTGTATGCTCTGAAGAGACAGAAAGCAGTGGAAGCAGACCTTATTTTCACTATGGATGCACAAGTGCATTACATTATGTGCTCTTCTTGTTCTAAAACAAAGGAGGAGTGCTTTCAACTCTTCTAATGGTATGGTCCCTAACCTCTTCATAACAGAAGTGTCCTCTATGGCAAAGTCAACACCTGAGCCACTGAGTTTCTGACACTTTCTCCACCTCTGCAGTCACCATCTGGAGACGTGAAGCCTCATTCTCTTTTCTCTCGCTTTCAGTCTGATTTTCTGTTATTTTATATAGTATGCGCCCGGTGTATGTGCTAGGAATGCACCGACACTCACGCTGCTACACTATAAACCTAGACTTTCAGGCACACACACATATAGTCAGACAAATGTTATAATGACATATTCGTTATAAAGACTGCCAGTTATATGCAAAATCTGTCAATCTGCCACTCTTCCTGGAAAAAAATTCTATTATTTTGTACCCCTTTCACTGTTTTTTTTTCCACCTCCTATTTCTCAACTATATTCTTAATGTTTTTGAGTCTGTAAACCCTAAGCAATGGCAAAGTTATTTGTCCAGTTTGATGCAATAATAAAGGTTTAAACTGATATATGCCATACAACTGTCACCAATTTCCTCTGATTTCCAATCATGCACAGTCTTGAAAACAATATCTTTCAGTGGCAACAGTTTCTTATCTCATGCCCTGCTTACCTCTGTCTCCAGGAAGCGACGGAGGGCTCTCTTCTTCTTAATGTTCTTCCGGCGCACAGACACTGCTACGCTCAGCACCATGATCACCACCATGAAGAGGCCACCAATCACTCCTGCTGCGATCAGAGGGGTTCTGAAGATAAAAAAGTGGAGGGGGAGGAAAAGGAGGGAAATTAGTAGATGATGAAAAAGAGGAGGATGCAGGTGAGGAGAAAGCATATATTATTATTTTTGGAAAGAGAGAGATGATGACAGGGGAGGCCGGAGAGGTTGGGGGGTGGGATTGGATGTGTTGAGTAGGAGTAGAGAGGATGAGGAGAAAAAGATAGAAGTTGGCATCATGTTTATGGTGCCATATGCACACACACACAGAATAAGTAAATAAACAAACACACAAACTAGAATACCTGGCTCATGTTTGTATGCCTCTGTGTACCAGACAATGCATTTACAGTTTACATCCATGTCTGCAGAAACATTGATGCTTCACACGAATCTTTCCCCCTAGCAGCACAGAAGATCTTTACAATCAGCACAGTTTCAAGGTGGGCACCCAAGGTTATATATTAGTGTCACCTTCTGTTCCAAAAATATGGTGTTGAGTAATGGCCAGAAACGTGTTGTTGCAGGACATTATGATGTCACGGTGAAGCTAATCTTTGACCTTTTGGATATAAAATGTCATCACTTCATCAATTTATCCTATTAGAGACTTCTTTGAAATTTCACACACCTGACGAATGAATTCTTGAGGTATGGCCAGAACGTTTTGTGAAGTCACAGTGACCCTGACCTTTGACCTTGGATCACCAAATTCCAATAGATTCATTGTTGAGTCAAAGTGAATGTTTGTGCCAAATTTGAAAAAATTCCCTCAAGGTGTTCTTGAGATATCAAATAATGAGAATGGGATGGATGTACGTACACATGGACATAAGTTTGTATGGAGGTACACTCTATGGACACAAGTATTTGGTTATACCTGTTCATTATTGAATTCAGGTGATTCAATCAGACCCGTTGCCACAGGTGTATAAAATCAAGCACCTAGCCAACATTTGTGATACAAAATGAGTCATTCTGAAGAGCTCAGTGACTTCAAGCGTGGTACTGTGATAGGATGCCACCTTTGCAATAAGACGGTTCGTGAAATTTCATCCTTGCTGGATATTCCACAATCAACTGTAAGTGATGTGTTAGAAAGTGGAAGTGTTTAAAAACAACAGCAACAGCCAAGAAACGGAAGACCACGTAAAATCACAGAGCAGGGTCAACGACTGCCAAGGCTTATAGTGCATAAAAGTTGCCAACACTCTGCTGAGTCCATAGCTGAAGAGTTCTGAACTTCCACTGGCATTAATGTAAGCACAAAAACTGTGGCAGGAGCTTCATGGAATGGGTTTCTTTGGCCAAGCAGCTGCAAACCAAAGCTAATACCAATTGTTGGATGGAGTGGTATAAAGCACACTGACAATGAACTGTGGAGCAGTGGAAATGTATGCTATGGGGTGACGAATCCCACCTCTCTGTTTGGCAGTCAGATGGGCGAGTCTAGGTTAGACAGATGCTGGGAGAACTGTGAAGTTTGGTGGAGGATGGATAATGGTATAGGGCTGTTTCTTAGGTTGTGGGCTTGGCCCCTTACCCCCACAGAAGGGCAATCTTAATGCTTCAGCATATCACAACATTTTGGACAATGCTATGCTTCCAACTTTGTGGCAACAGTTTGGGGAATGTCCTTTTCTATTTCAACATGACTTTGCCCCAGTGCACAAAGCAAGGACTATATAGACATGGTTTGATGAGTCTGGTGTGGAAGAACTTGACTGGCCCACACAGACCCGCACTGACCTCAACCCCATCCAGCACCTTTGGGATGAACTGGAGTGGAGATTGCCAGCTAGGCCTTCTCGTCAAACATCAGTGCCTGACCTCATAAATGCTCTACAGAAGGAACGGGCACAAATTCCCACTGAAACACTCAAAAATCTTGTGGAAAGCCTCCCAAGAAGAGTGGAAGCTGTTATAGCTGCAAAAGGGGAAGCAACTCTATATTAAAATATATGTATCTGAATACAATGTCATTACAATCCCTGTTGGTGTAATGGTCAGGCATCTGAATACTCGTGTCCATATAGTGTACATACATACGGATGGACAGATGGATGAATAGACAACCCGAAAACATAATGCCTCTGGCCACAACTATCGGTGCCACAGAGGCATAAAAAGATGTTTCTAAAGTATATGCTGTTTTTTGGGGGTGATCCTTAAAAAAACTTCTTCACCTTCAGTTTTTGTCTGTTTTCCTACCAGCTTCATCTGGTAACAAATATCCCTCCATGCCCTCTCATTAAAATCGAGGCTGAGATCAAAAACATGGAAATAACCATCAAAGTGAATTCTCAGCACCACACTGACGCTGTCATTTGAAATCAAGCCTCTCAATAATTTTCCTGATATGCTCCCCAAACTGTCTACAAAGCTGCTGCAGAAATGAGCGTTCAGAGTTGCCTTTGGTATACCAGCCGATCCCCGCCTTTTTTGCTATAATGAAAGAACTTAATTTGGTCAAGGCATACTAAAACTCTCCTAAATCATGGGAAAAGGCTGCTACTTAGGACTGTATATCACAAAATGCAAGGATACACCCCATAAAATGTTATCACAGTCAGCCGGCTTCATGAGAAGTGAAGAACTCTATCTCCCCCACATCTTTGGCTGGCACAGGGAGAAAATCACCATTTTGAGGACTTATAATGTGTGATGGTAACGAGCTGTTGAGAAGTAGAGCCTAGCTAATAAATGTGTCAGGCTGACATACCTGATAATATTTGCTTAGCGTACATACTGTATGAGTATTGATAATTTCAGGTAAAAGCTGTAAAAAAAAAAAAAAAAATCCTCACTTTTGTTTGGGCTAATTTAGATACTGCGTAGTCATTACATAGATTACCCACAAAAGAGCACAGACAAATTTATTTTTCATCTGTAAAGATGTCCACCTGATTAAATATCATGGCCACAATTCTTTGAAGGAATAATTTGAAATACACCTCTTGGCTGTCTTGTGGAGGATTAGATGAGAAGATTAATACCACTCTCATATCTGTCCATTAAAGGTCCAGTGTGTAAGATTTAGGGGGACGTACTGGGCAGACATGAACTATAGTATTCATAACTATGTTTTCATTAGTTTACAATCACTTGAAACTAAGACTCTGTGTTTTTGTAACCTTAGAATGAGCTGTTTATAGACCCTTTTACTGTAAGTAAACAGAATGATGTGTTTGGTGGGCGGGGCTTAGCTGGAGGCAAAACAATTCTCCACAGACGTTATATTAGTTAGCGCTAGCTAGCAAGTTCTGTTGGCTGGTTTAAGACAATGGAGGAAGATGATGTAAGTGGTGCATTCAGAAATACTCACTTTGAGTGCTGGAGTGTACTATGGCACAAAATGGACCATTCGTAGATTTTGAGCGTTGTCTAAATTTACCATTTAGTTATTCAGAGCACCGCACTCTTGGAGCACCGGAGTGCACTTTGTTTGGGGAAACAGAGCAGCAGAGCACTGAGTGGAGTGAAGCTTAACTGTTTCTTAATTAATGTAGAAATGAAAAGAGTGTCAGAGTTAATTTATGAATGCACCATGTCAGATCACTCACTCTCCGGGACCGCGAGTATTACTTGAAAAAGTAAACACTGACCAACGGGACCAGACTGGCTGACCCGTATGCTCTCACACACACCTACTACAGGATTGCTGACGGTGGAATGGCCGGCTCTGTGGTTTATTACTTTGCCAATTTTACAAAGGAGGATGACACTTCAACAGTTTCCTCCAGTTTGTTTTGCTATTAAAGCTAACGTTAGCTAATGCACTACTGGAGAAATCCAATATTCCTCTTAATACCTGCCCAATTTCTGATTAGGTAGACATGATAACCCTTAATACACAACAATGTTATTCAACAGTTAATAATTTCCCCTTACCTGATATAAAGTGTGGGCTGCACATGCGAGCATTTTTTTTAAGATCGCGTCCGTCCAGTCCTCGTCATAAGGCATTTAACCATAGTTGTCTTTTTTTGTTGACAGGCAGTGGCTGCTGGTATATGATAAAATTTCAGTTTTGAACCATGACTTCTTCTATTCTGGCTCCCAATAACACAACAAGACAACATTTTAAAACTCCTGCATAGCCAACAGCCCTGTGGTGGTGAGTCATGTTTTGCCTCCAGCTAACAAACTGGCATCATTGTGATGTCTGCCCTGAAAGGGTCCATATCTACATATGAACTAATCAAACACTGGCTCTGGATAGGGCTATTTGCACTCTATTGTTGGCCACATGGGAGAATTTTCAGTTGGTTGCAATGTTGCAACCTCACCACTAGAAGTCACTAAATCCTACAAACTAGACCTTTAATATGAATGAACAACCAGGAGAGAATTAGCTTAGAATTACAGTTTAACAGCCCCTCTAAAGCTTACAAATGACCACATTATCTTCTTTGTTCCATCTATATATACATGAAGATGTAAAAACAAAAATTCATGGTGACAACAAGAAATAGGAAATCACTGTACTTGGTTGAGAAACAGTCCAGCATGTAACGTAGGTATGTTGTAAAGGTTTTGCGCAGATTGAACAAGCTATAAAGTAGTAAACAGTGGGCTTAAGAGGTGCTGCTTTGGACAGAACTATTTTCACCTGTCTCTGCATGTTTCTGTATTTTGTGATCTTCCATTAAAACTTGACTAATAACGAAAAGAAAGGTCACTAAAGATTTGACGCTCAACCAAATGTCATTTTAGCATCAAGACCTACTGTAGATATCTAATGAAATCCGCACACTTCATATAAATGGTCTTTCTAACTGACTGGACTAACTACTCCCCTGAGTGATCATCTATAATGTACTCAAGACATACAGTTCTCAAGGTTGTCCAGCAAGCCACATTTGCACATGGTCAGCCATGCATTGGACCACATCAAATGCAATGTTTCTCCACCATTACAACCATCACTCTAAATAGGCATGCACAAGGAGCCAATCAGGGATCACAGAGATACCAGACAATAAGGCAGCTCTGATCATTATGAATTAAATTGGAAAGATACTGCCAAATGGGAACATGTTAGATGAGGTATTACTTGTCAGTTTTATCAGACAAAATATTATTACAGGAGTAAGTGACAGGAAGCGATTAATCCATCTTAATCAGATATGCACACAATCCCTACACAAGATGTATGCTAATGCCAGGTGGAACGATGCCCTTTGAAGGCTTAGTGTAGTCATGTATTTCTGATAAGCCACTTTCAGTCGTGCTCAAAAGCCAATACCTCCAACCCGTAACAGATTTACAAGATGTGTGATGCCTCAGAGCAGGCAGCTGAGCCTGAGGTTGGCCGGGCGTCTACTGCTGTATCCTAACCACAGCTATCGGAGATCTGATAAGGGCTGATCTATGCACCAGGTCAGCTGATAGCTACATTCCCCATCTGCTGCAGTCCCCTGTCACCCTGTTGGCAGTGTCCCAGGGACTGATTCAGAGGGGAAAAACCTAGATTTTGAGCAGATCTCCAGAAGGCGTGAATGTTTTCTCTGAAATTGTAGGTATCTCCTGCAGCATCTATTGGCCTCGATAAAAGGTTCAAGACGGAATATTGATTAGTGAATACTTTCTTAATGGTTATCAGTTTGTCCGTCTTTGTATCTAACTGTATGGCTCTTTCATCTGAAGCTTCCAGCTAGATAGTCTAAATGTCTTTGTTTTTCCGGTCTAACTTAAAAGTCAGCCATTGCCTTTAAGCATTGCACTGTCCTGTCCTGCATTGCTCTGTTCTCTTTTGGCAGCTGTGTTGTGCTGCAGATCTGCAGACCCACCAGTAACTTCTGTAGCCTTTTTTTCTCAGTTAAATCTTCCCCAAAACACCACACAACAATTTTCAGCACCACTTGATGCCAAACTGTTTCTTTTATGAAATCTTGAATCCATTTGTTGTAAACAGTTAGCGGCATTTTGTTCCCCAAACCCCCCGTATAGCCTCAGAACAAAAGCTAAAACGCTATCAATTTATCAAGAACCAGGCAAATTGCTTGCACACACACACATGCACGCACGCACAGGCAGACACACACACACACACACACACACACACACACACACACACACACACATACACACACACACACACAAGCATGCACAGAGAGGCATTAAGGACACTCACAGGGATTTTGGGCCTTAGAGCTAACCATTAATCAGAGACTTTGCTTACTGTGATTCTTTTGTGTTTGTGTGTGTGTGTGTGTGTGTGTGTGTGTGTGTGTGTCCGCATCGTGTGTGCCACTACGCAGGTGTGTTTGTATGAAAGGCAATTCGCAGAAAAGAATTTTGTACCTGTCCATCCAACCAATACAGTCTTGCAGTCTTGGTCCAATGCACCTAGGCAAACAAATACAAGACAAAAGTTAGAGACACAACATTCATAGTGTATTACATATCTGAGAATGATGAGACCCTGTATTGAGTTGAGCAAAGCAACACAGTAACTAATGGTTAATCAAACACAAACTAAACCCATATCTATATTACATCTTTGCTGAGAATATGTGCTCTCGGTGGCCTTTTATTACTTCACTTGTTTGATGATGCAGCTCACGTAATGGGAAGTATAGACTTCAGCAAGACTCTGAGAGGTCACTCATGCTGAGTAAGATTACATTTTTCATGCAGGCCGGCTGTATTACAGCACACATCTTTGGCAGCGTTCACACATTAGAGATATATAATAATACATAATAAGATCTGCATTCAATTATTAATTATAATTTATTATGTACTGTATGGCAAATTGCACATTTTACAGAAAAATACTATAAATGAGCCATCTTGGAGTTCATAAAAATACATAATTTGTAATGTTTACCCCTTTACCTTTTTTTTTTTTTTCCAGTAGCTATGCGTATTGATTTGTCGGCAGTGCTGGGTGTTGTCTTGTGTTTTAGGTTCTTAAGCTGACAGTGGCATAGACAAAAAAGGAAATTGGTCGTGAAAGCACAAGTATGCTTGCTGTGAGGTAGGGCATTAACGACTTTGATTTTTTTCAGGTCGACTTATCTGTCAATAAAGTCGAAGTTGAGTCGACAAGTCATTTGATGACGTCATCACATTGACACGGTGGAGGAAAGTGAAGTATCTCAACACATGTGATGTGTGTCTGTCAAGGCCCGAACATACTCGGGCGAAGCGTACGTGGAACGGACTCTGCGGAGGTCCGCGCGCACTCAAAGCGGACATCTGCAAGCCCTGTGCGCGCAAAGCTCAGATTTTACGACCACGCGGACTCCGCTCTGCGCACCAGTGACTGCTCGGCATGCATTTTTCATATCGCAGGGATTTTTCACTGACATTTTTACAGGAAACTACAACGCGGAAGTGCGCTCGACTATGAAAGTCCGAATGACTGGAGTCTGCTCTGCTTATAGTACACCCGAGTATGTTCACTTAGTCAAGGATAAAGTATCAGTGTAAGCCAGTCAGAGGCAGTGACTGCATTCCATACACAAGCACACAGAGAGAGAGAGAGAGAGAGAGAGAGGGAGAAAACACACGACTTGTCGACTCCTCCCGGGGGGTGTCGACTTGTGCCACTGACGTCTACACGTCGACAAATCGAAAAAACTCAATTTTTCACTCTGTTTGTCAATTACACACAGGTCTGAACACACACATGCACAAACAGGACCTATACATGCACTAAGTGGAGAGATGTCAGAGTGGGCTGCCCATGACAGGCCCTCTAAGCGGTTGGGGGGTTCAGTGCCTTGCTCAGGGGCACCTCGGCAGTGCCCAGGAGGTGAACTGGCACCTCTCCAGCCACCAGTCCACGCTCCATATTTTGGTCCGGACGGGGACTTGACCCTCTGGTTCCCAACCCAAGTCCCTATGGACTGAGCTACTGCCGCCCCAGACTGAGCTACTGCCGCCCCAAATGAATGAATTGATATGCATTTCTAATTTATCCTAGCTATTTGGGATCAGTAGGACCCAAAATGTATAAAAAACTAAACATTGTCAATGATAATAAAATCCCAATGTCCTCAAAAGAGTACTTACTAATTAATTAACTAATTACTAATGTTACTGTTGCTAAAACTGGTCAAATTTGTTGCAGTATAAAGCAATAAACATTACTAATGATAAATAAACTAGTTTCAATCATAAAATCTGATCAGGTTTTGGACCTTGTCCACTTTTGTGTTGGGATCAGCTGCAGACTGACTTGGCAGAGATGGCTGCCATCTTGTTTTTACATGGATTAGTGTACTATGCATTTACAACCACTAGATGGTACAAAAAAGTGTTCCCAATTGAGGACAACGGGTCTAAGTCAAGTATAATGAAGAATAAAGTCAAGTAAATCGAAAATGTGATGTCCTCAAATGAGGACGTAAGGTTTTAGGAGGTTAAGTAAAGGCCCAGACCAGGGTTTACACTAGACTATTTTATGGCAAATACAGCCTTTAATATTCCAGAATTCCATCCATATAAAACCAGACATATGTTTGAAATAGCAGTATAATAGCCTACAGTGAAAGAGCCCTGCAATATGTCAGTTGTCATGCAGCTGCTAGTCAGCAGTCGCCTGGCTGTTCACACCAGAAGCACATTTCTCCACACCAGTCAGGAAGCCACTCTGCTCCTCTCATCTGTTCTAATCACATGTAGAGCTCTGTCTGCTTGTGTGTGAGTGAGTGTGTGTGTCTGTGTGTGTTGGCTTGTCTTTCTTGCTCACTGTTAAGCCACAACTGACAAATATAAGACAGCATGGGGTGCATATTTTATCATTTATTATATCTAATATAGCCCTTATATTGTTCATAATAGATTATCAGTGTGTTTTCCTGCCAGATTTGCTTGCAGAATAAATAGATCAGACGTGGAAACTTGCTGCAGATGGTGAGCCATCCGTGGAGCTTTGAGTTGCAACCAGTCCAGTCTGAACAGCCCCATTGCTCAACAAAGGTGATGAAAGAAAGCGGGCAGCGCTTCTCGGAAAATCTGCCTGCTTCACAGCGCTTCTGCGTCCAGTGTGAACCACTACACCTGCTATCCACCATTTGGCTCACCATGGGGTAGCGAAGCGTACCTCTTGGTCTGATCTACCAGGATACCTGCAGTGTGTTGGAGGTGTCCCTGGAAAAAAATAATCTGTGATGCCGTCACCTAACTACACCAAGCACGCTGAGGAAGACTGTGACTGCCGTTGATATGTGGAAGGCAGGGTGACAGTCTGAATGGTTGTGGTGGATAAATAGATCTGTTAGCAATTATTGTGTGAAAATTTGTTCTGCAAACTAAAAGTTTATATTTAAGTTGTCTCGGCAACATAACTTATAGGTCACACAATATTAGACTATTTCTTATGCGATTAATTACTTTATTGATGTATTCAGCATATTTCATATTGGACATTTTGGCCACTGTTTTTTTTTCTGCTGAACAACTACATGTGATACTGGGCAAAAGCCAGCATACACCAGGTTATGTTAACCCTGGCCCAAACACACCTCACGTCGCCTTTGCCTCAGCCAAAAAGTTGCACTTGAACACACTGTAAAGATTACAGCCAATGGTCAGTTAGCACATGTGTTTTGTGCCTGTGTGAGAGGGAATATCTCTTCGTATCAGCAGGCGGTGGTAAGTTTGTATTCGTCAATATAAAAGACAAACCTGAAGAACTAAAGGAAGGATTCAAGAGGCACATTAGCCAGTTCGCATATTAACAACACAACCTAATGTTGAAAGAACAAATGATATTTACCAAGCGCAAGCGAACAGTAACATGAACAAGTACAAATCGTTCCTGCTTAGGAGCTCAATTGAAGAAAAAAAAAAACAAACGTACCTGATAGAACAAGTGTGTTTTGATCTCACGCCCTCTTGAATAGTCGTTTGTTTGCTTTCCTCACTTCTCTTCTCATGTACTGAGCTTAACTGCTATTGCAATCAAAGAGATTCACTCACTCGCACAAGGGTTCCGCTGGGTTCACCGGCCCAACTCTGATTGAACATGCTGAATCGGCAAAAAAACAGCTGACTAGTGCCAGTGGTGCGGGACACACTGCAATCACTAGGGTGGCAGACGCTCACTAGACAGACCAATTGCTGACCGTTGGCTTGGTGTGTCGGGGCCCTAGAGATGTTCACTGGACAATTTGAACTGAATAAAACTACTTTCCATTGGTCAGTTTATCGATTTGTCAGTACCTCAATTCAAATACAGACTTTGGTGTACGGGTCATATTTCTGATTCTGTCAAAACATACGTCTGTGTGTGTAAGCATATATGAGCATGTATGAACTCTATCCTAGAGGTTGAGTTCCAGTCTGTCCGCACAGATGACAGAATACAAAGCTACACTGTCTTCTGATGGAAAGCAATGATCTCTGCTGGAAATTTCCCCCAGTCCTCCTGTGCTGATGCTTCAACTCTCCCATGTGTACTGTGCACTAGTGACGTCTGACAGTCTTAATAGTGGCTCCAAAACCTGGAGGCTCATTTGAATGTTGAGAAGAAAGGGATAGTGGTTTCATCCCTGTCTCTGTCTCTTTTCCTCTTTGTCTGTCTCCCTCCCTTTCCTCTCCCTCCCCCCCAGCTTGTTGTTTTGAGTGGTGGATCTGCTTATGAAGCTATACCTGTGACAAAGTGTCAGCCTGGTGTTTTCCATTTACGAGTGCATTGCTATGCTCGAGCGCGCTGGAGGCTGTCACTCAGGAGAGGAGAAATAACACATGAGGAAGTGGCATAAACTCCCTGTGGAGTTAAATACAAAATGATGTCTTACCAACCCTTGTTGGATATTACATTGAGCGATCTGTGGCTAGTGAGCAATGGAGAGTGGCAAGGTACTTCACAGATTCCTCTCACTATCATTCTCCCTCTTTTTTACTCTCATTTCTGCTTTGCCTCTCTATTGATCTGTCATATCTTGGAAGATGTTGGATATTTCTGACTATGCACTTACCAGCCACTATGTATATAAAAGAATATTCTGTTAGCACTCCAGAAAGTGGCACAGGGAAGTATATTTGAGCATCCTTGTGAAATGGTGGTGCTGGTGATGTAGTGACTACTGCAGCTGATTAGTAGTAGTGCAATACATTTTACCATCAACTTCTGTCTCACAAATTGATCATGGCGTTAGTTCAGGCAGGACACACATCCCAACTAAATTAGGTGATCTCAAACAGCTCAATCAACTGATGGAGCAGCTGATTGATGGAGGGGAGTCAGCTGATAGATCATGTGATTGCTTACTATGCAACAAATTGGCAAATCTCATTCAGGATGCCCCATTTAAACTGCTCTGGCCTGCCTACTATTGCTGCTTCCTCTGCAAGTCACTTTGCAACCCACCCCCACCCCAGCTCCTCCTTTTCATGATGTGTCTGACTTATCAGTGTCATTTCTGTTTGTCATTGATGCTGCTCTGTTCTGTTCCCAGGGGGTCTTTACTGCCTCTCTCCCTGCCTTAGGCTTTCCATGTAGGCGCATGGAAGGGCAGGGAGGTGTGCTCTCTCTGTCTCAGGTTTTCCTCATTTGCACATGGAAGGGCAGAGAGGTGTGCTCTCTCTGCCTTAAGGCTTTCCACGTAAGCATGTGGAAAAGGCTTTCTGTGTAGGCCCGAGGAAAGACAGAGAGGCCCTAGAACAGAGCCATACCACCAAATGTAATACTGCAAATGGAAATAAATTTTCTTTGACTAAAGTGTTCCTGACTGAACTGACTGCAAACCATGCCTCTTTTGTGGAGCAGCTTGGACTCCAGCAGAGCAGGGTTTTATTGTTTGGTGCAATACAATTAACATTGTGCTTTTAGACTCTCCAGCTTTCCATTTCTTATGTCAGCAGTGTCAAGATGTCTTACCACTCATACCACTAATTGCAGCAATACCATTGCAACAAGTCTTTTTTTTAATAAACTGTGCAGCTGTGGTTTAGATGGTAGAGCAATCCTGCACTTACAACAAGGTCAGTGGTTGGATCCCTGGCCCCCTCAGTCGACACGTTGAGGTGTCCTTAGGTAATACGCTGAACCCCAGATTGCTCCAGATGGCTCTGCCATTGATGCATGAGTGTGAATGTGAATGGATCACTCGTGATGACCAGGTGGCACCTTGTATGGCAGCTTCCGCCACCAGTGTGGTGAATGCTGGCTTGTGTTGTAAAGTGCTTTGAGTTGTCACTATGACTCGAAAAGTGCTACATAAACACAGTTTGAAATTTTGTTGATTTAAAAGCTGGAGTGACTAGACCCTTGGGGTTTAGGTCAGGAAATTAAATCAGGACAAGGGTTTAAAGTAGGATTATGGTTGGGGTTAGGTGTTACGTAATGATCCTACTTAATGAAAGTTTTTCTGTATTCTTTTCTTTTTTTCTTTTTGGACAACCTATCACAGTGAGGAGTTTCTTGTTTCTTGTAGATTACTTAAGAATTTGCATTTAGATACAGCTCCAAGATTAAATCTAGAGAGCTTCTTGGGATAGCATCTCACTAGCTGCGACACTGATCCCCAACTTCAAATGAATTCAGTGAGGGCCCAAAGACCCCTTCCCTGCTTCCTACCCTTGCTAGGACCACACCCATCTTCAAACTTGGCTTTTATTTTCATCTCAACTACTGCATCTTGCATTGTTTCAGTGCTATCATTGTGACAAAATGTATCCACAGACAGACCCATACACACGTAGGAAAATACTGCGGTAGTTCCTGCTACAAGGTGTCTCCAAGATGACTGTTACTGTTTGGTTTCATTCATCTTTTATAGGCTGAAAGAACTAACTTCTGATTCATGAAGAATGACACAAATATCTTACTTTTGTGAAGTAATGACCATCAAACCAGTCCTTGTCCTGACTGTACTCACCCCTGGGTGCAGTTGGCATGACAGGGATGGCATTCGTTGTTGGCTTCTGCGTACTTGAAGATGAAGCTGTTGGCACCTTGCAGGCCATCGGGACACTTCTCCACACAATTAGGACCGTCTTTAAAATGGAGGCATTTCACACAATGCTCTGGGCCCTGTGAGGAGTGAGAAGAAAAAAACATTATGCTTTTCAGATGCACATTTTCATTTTGAAATCATACAGTACTACTGAATAAAATGTACATAGTAGGTGTACACATAACCATCAGTGAGGTGCCAGTTGCAATTTAGTGAGGCATTTAAAGGGCAGCTCCATTATTCATTTATTTTTAGGTTTTTATATCATTGCATAATTTCCCAGTAGTGTTCCTTGTGTATAAATCTAAATATTTGAATTCTATGCATCAAAATGCTATCTTCCCAAGCCCTTCAAAATGTGTTTCCCCAAGTGACCTTTGTAGGTTTCTGCATGATGATGTTGCCACATATGAACTACCTAGCCTTTTTGTGGCTGAGCCAAGAGTTTTTTGAGAATTGTGTGTTATCAATCTTCCAATTTAGCTCTATTCCTAGAACCTCTAACTAGCATGGAAGCTCAGAAATTACTTAGTTACATTACATTAGTCTGGATCAGTGATGTAAGGACATTGCGACGGGCCCCAGTGCATGCTATCGTGCATGTATTGTCTTTACACAAATAACAACTTGACATAGGACAACATCAAGATACATATTACCCAGCAATTAACATAGCATATCTCACAAAAATTATTCATTGATAATTAATCAATTAATGATAATCATAATTGAATGGCCTTTATAGTTTATTCACAGATTTTATAGCTTATGTAGAAAAAGCCTTTTTGAGGACATATATAGCAAATGGCACCATTTTTAAATTAGGAATATCTTTTTTATCATTCCTCTTTGAACACAGGTACATATTCAAGGAGGCAATCTTTGTCACTTGCAAGGGCCTGCTCTCTTCCGGCCCCTCCAGCCCATGGCCCCCAGTGCAACGTACTGCCTCTATATTTACATCCCTGGTTTGGATCCAGGGATGTAAGTCACACAATAACACAGACTATCTAGCTGATCCAAACTGCTGTAGACCAGCAACTCCCTGTTAAAATTACTGGCTTTTTTTGGCAAAGGTGGGTCTGAAGAGAACAATGTAATGGCCTCAGTTCCTCATCTAAAAGGCTGTCTGGTGGAAAGTGAAAATATTCTAAATATAGCATACATAGTCTGATATAGATTTTTTTTAGGCTGACCATTTTTAAGGTGGCTAATGCACGTTTTACATGCAGATTGCTTAGATTCAGTGCTGGTTTTCCTGTCTGCTTCTCCAAAATTGGGTGCGCTGACTGCCATCTACTGTCAGGTACTACACTGTAGATCTGTGGTCTGTGGATAAGCACCTCATACAACCCCACTTTGAAAAATCCGAACTACCCTTTCAGTTATTATTATCATTACCAGCACTCTAATCTACATGACTGCTTTATGCTAACTGCTGAGTGGGCACTTCCTTTTAAATAACCTAGAAAAGAACACAGATGGAAATGACCTTTTACTGACAACTATAATTACTTAACTATTGTTATTATGACGATGCTGACTAGCAGCATGCTCTGTATAGGTCTGAGCATTACACTCCAGCACAATTTCAGCGCTAATAATAAAGGTAGGGTCTGGATTGGAAAAGGCCAAAGTTTTTACTTGGTAACTTTGCAGTTAGTGGCAAGTGGTGGACATGATAACTCTTGGAATTTCCTCCAAACTTTTCCATGACAGAAAAGAGACAGAAAAGATGTCTTTTTGTAACACGATCAATTCTCACTGGCATGTCCAGCTGTCTCTGGACAGCTTTCTCTCACAGATGTTTAGGCGACAGTTTTCACTCTCAAGTTGTGATTCCAAACAGTGCGTTGAGAGGATATACTGTAACCAAATCTGACATTAAGAAGTCGGGCATGAAGGACAAATCTGTGGTGTCACAAATTTAGGGGGGTGAAATATCTGCTTTAGCCTCAGTTTGTAATGTAGACTGATTGATGGGTATATTTCTACATCAATAACTTGCCAAGTGCAGCTTTCTTAGCAGCTTTACAGATTAAACTGTTGTGCTTGTGTAACAGTAAAAGCTTGAGAGCAAAAGAGAGATAACAGAGCAGAAGACAGCAGGTGAAAAGTGAAAAAAAGAAGTACTGTAGAGTAATAAGGGGAAGTGAGGGGAAGAGAGTGGACATGGATGCAGAATAACGCAGCGAAGGGGAAAGGCAGTGAGAGCGAGCCAGATATAGTGTGAATTAGAGAGAGTGAGAAAGAGGGACGGGAGGGGGAGAGCAGACGAGACGCATAAAGCAGTGTGAGCGGAGCAGGCAGATAATAACCATCGCTCACAGCACACACAATGACCATAACAATCCGCCTAGAACAGGATTTATGGAGCTAATATAGGCGAGGGAGGAGGTAGGGGAGGAGAGGAAGAGAGGCGAAGAGCTCTCCCAGACAGGCCTCGTATCATCAACAGGCCCAAAGAACATCTCATTGACAAACAATACACACATATACACAAACTGGTTGTGGAGGAAGTACACAAATTCTTTACTTAAGTAAAGTACCAGTAGAACAATGTAAAAATACTTAATCACAAGCAAAAGTCCTGCATTTAAAATTGAATTTAAGTACACAAGAATGAGCAGCAAAATGTACTTAAGCATCAAAAGTAAAATTAAATGTCCTGTGACTGATATGACATTATTAGGTAGTTCATACTAATGCATCAATGTGTAAGCAGCAATTTGTTGTAGCTGGCCGAGGTGGAACAAATTTTAACTACTTTACCAGCCCTTTGCTAGTTTTATCCATTAAAGCCCAACCAACACTGTATTTATTTTTTGGACTTTTCTCTAATCTTTGTTTGAATTTCAACACTTGCCTTTGCAGTGAATCCATGAATACAGAAATATGTGAGTTATCTTTGATTCAGACCCATAAACTGTATAAAATACTGTACATAGCCATGTCTACATCACCCACTGGTGTGTGGACTCCTGTTTTGAAATCTTGAGTTCTGCATTTTGATAGTCGCCATTGATTTTTGGAGCAAGAAGTGACCATATTGGGACAAGCGCTAGCTGCTAACTTGGTCAGCATGGTGCATTTTTTACTATGGTTAACTGTGATGTTGCTATTGCTAACTTCTGCTAGCAAAAAGCAGGCTTACAAACATGAAAAACAAAATGTATGCCACTCAGTGCAAAAACTGAATATCTAATTCCTTAGTCGCTCCTTTAATACAACCAAACAAGACTTTCTTTTAGGTGACCAAAACTTAACTTTCATGAAATTAATACAAACTAAAATAGCGACAGATACGTCTTTACTCTGTGAATCTGGTGTTACGCCATAGTTACGTTATCTGACCAAAGTTGTCACTGTGGTAGCAATTTTTCAATGGATGGTACCTACCTGTCACTCAAAGTGGCCACACCCTTTACTAGGCAAAACTTTAAGCCTTGAAGGCTCTCTAAGTCTTCCTAAGCTTGAAAAGTTTTTGTCACGTACAGCAAACATCTCCTCACGATCCGCTAGCTACGTCCTCTGAATAAACTGTGAAAAAGTCCGGTCTCTGTAGGCAGCCCAGGCTCCGCAAATGGCAACAAAAACATTTTGGTCCAGGCTGCACCGACCAGCCAGTGCGAGACCAGCGAAAGCAAGCACACACACATGAACGCGGTGCCCATGTCTCATGGTCTCGCACAAGCATGCACACGTGAATGCGGTGCCCAGAAAGGCAGTTAGAGCTACAGGTTACAATGAGGCGAGGGGCGAGCTAGCTCAGTTGTGTTTGATAACATTGTTGAACATAAACAGAAGTGATGCCCAACGGTGCTTAGCGTGCCTTGAGTGAAAGGGTGAGTTATGAAAAAAAAAAAAAAAAACATCCTCTCACAGTTGTCATGAACAGGGACATTAGCTATAGAGACCAAAACCGTTTTATGGGAGCTGACTCATTTTTGGTGCCAGTCTCAGGTGGCCGTCCAAAAAACTGTAGTTTTTGACATTTCCATGTTGGCTTCATTTATCAGCCCTGGAGGTTGCCGCTTGTTTGGACATGGACTTCTCTAAACATTTCGGCAATATCACCAAATCAGCCTTGGTCAAATCAGGAGAAGTCACCAAAATTAGATCATTTCTTTCATCAGTGATGCAAAAAAATCTCATCCATGCTTTTGTCTCATGCCATCTCGATTACTCTACCTTATTATTTGGTGACTGCCAATGACATCAATAAACTGCCTGTAACTTGTCCAAAAATACCCCGGCAAGGGTTCCTATACAAACTGGGAGATATGAGCATATTTGTATTCTCATCTTATTGCAGTAGTTACCCTTGGTTTTCAGAATTGGTTTTAAATTTTTTATGTTTGTTTTTAAATCACCTAGCGGCCTTGCCCCCTCTTACATCATCAACCTTCTCACTCCTTATACCCCTGCTCTTACTCTCAGATCTGCAGACCAGCTGGTCCTCTCAGTCCCCAGGGCGAGGCCTGAGACAGAGGGTCGTGGGGCATTTGTCTTCAGGGCTCCACAACTGTGGAATAACCTTCCACCGAGAAACTACTTTAGTGTCCTCTTTTAAACTCTTAAGCACTTGTATTGATAAAATGGCTTTTGATGACAGATTTTCTTTTTATTTCATGCTTTGGTTCATTTATTTGTTCTTAAGATTTCTATTCATTGTCTTTTATCTTTGTTTCCATTTTGTGGTTGCATGGAACTTATTCCAGATTGTAACTGCAATATGTGTCTGATTTTATGTATTTGAAGCACTCTGTAAACTTGTTTTTGAAAAGTAAATTAAGTTCATTGTTATTATTAGTATTATCATAAATAAGATAAATAATATTAAATCATAATATGAAACTAATAACTAAAGCTATCAAATAAATGCAGTGCGGTAGAGGTATATTTTAGCACTTGAGTAGCAGTACTTATTTCTATCCACCACTGACACACACACACACACACACACACGCATATGCATATGCACGCATGCACACACACACAACAACACTTTGCATTTTAGTTGCACATACTGTATATTTGACAAATACCTGTAAGACACGCACACACAGACACACAC